TCAAAATTAAATTTGCTTTTACTTCTAATGCATTATCTAAATTATGTGCTTTATTCGGTGTGGTTCCTATACTGCTATGTATTTGTGTATTATTGTATTTATTCAATGATGCTTGAAACATTTCTACCCATTTTGAAGATGAATGATGTCTTAATCTATCACTAATCATTTTCTTAATAGTTCTAATCATCCTCTCTGCGTGTGATGCGTGAGTTCTTGTCATTATCCACTCAATGCCTTCACTTTTAAAATAATCTCGTAATTTTGTTCTATTTGAAACTTCCATCATCATCTGAGTAAATACTCAATGGTTGTCCTAAAACTTTAAAGCATTGAAGTATAGCGTCATAAACTGTTTTACCATCTTTATTTATCATAGGGACTATATGACATTTTTTTACTAAATATATCAATACACACTAAACCATAGCGTGGTTGGCCTTTAATATCAGAACCAACATCATTCAATAGACTCGTAATATCCATTTTATCAATCTGGAATTCATACGGTGGAAAAGGTGCAGTATATGAATTGTAGTTGTTTTTTTTTTAATTTCTCGTTTGTTTATTTGACTGTGATTTCATCCATTTAGAAACATAATCAAAAGTAAATCCTGCTTCAACTTTGTTTGCTTTTTCATATAAATCTCTTACTGATCCAAACCCCTCATCAACATCATAGAACAGTTTTCTCAATATTTCATCTTTTTCTAATTTAGCCATTTTATAAGTTACTTGATATTATATTATCTTATATAATATCAACTAATTGTATTAAATGCGTTTTGCATTTCTTTGATTTCTTATGTATTGAAAGATTAGACTTACAACTTAATTCACTTCCACAAATATCACAAATACACGGTTGTTTAGTTTTCTCTTTGTAATATTTCTTAAATATTCTTCATCATTAGGTTTTCTTATTGTAATAACCATTATCTTGCTTTCTCCATTCGGCTCTGCGTTTAGGTTCATAACTTTCACTACTTTCAGAAGATGTTAAACTATCATTAGTTTCATCTGAACTTATACTATTCCATAACATGTATCATTCTTCATCACTAATTGACATTTTATGACCATTATTTACAAAATATGCTGGCATTATTCTTGCTATTAATAATATATAGTATTCTTTCTTTAAGTTATTTTCATTATCTTTCATATTTTATTTTAACATTAAATTTAGCTTCAATATCCTTAATTGCTTCTTTGTATGCTTTCTTCAATCAAAGACTTCTATATGCCCAAAAACTAGGTTTGTTAATATCATTAAAATCGCTTATTGCCTTATGTCTTGTTTCATAATTATGTCTTCTTAATTCATTTAAATGCCCTTCGGTGTAATGCTCATAGCCGGTTGCTCCAAATGATATTGTTTTTCCATCCACAATAGCGTCAAACTTCTTTGATGGTTTAGATGACTTTTTAATTATTATTTGATTCATATATTATTGATAGATATTTTGTCAAAGTATCTATTAATAAAAACAAAGTAATTAATCATTATTGTGTATATAAAACTTTTTGTATAACTGGCAAATGTTTTTAAATTCGTCTTGCTTTTTACCTCCCTTGCTCTTTCTCCATCTTGCAAATAATATATTGTATTCATCCGTTATGTCCGTTGAAATTATATTCTTATTAAATGCCTCCTTAAACGACTCATCTAATACCTGAATACCTATTTCACTTGGCGTCTTTTGCTTTTCAATTGTCTTCTTTGGTTTACTTGTTGTCTTTGGTTCTACTGTGGGGGCAGTTTGTTCAGGTGCATAAAATGATGCTAATCTTTTCGTTTCCTTTTCCTCTTGTTTTTGTTGTCTTCGTGTCGGTTTCGCTTTTGGTCTTGCATCTTCGGGTTCTTCATTTGTTATTTGTTTTTCTTGTTTTTCCTCTGCTACTTTCTACATTCATCGACTCGCTTTCATCCATTGTTGATATTTGTACTTGTTTAGGTCTCGTGCCTTGCACTTGAACACTTGGCGGACGTCCTCTTTTACCCTTAGGTTCTACTTTCATCTCAGGAGCAACATCAATATCAACCATTGGCGCTGTTACTTGTGCTGGTGGTGTGCTACCTGTCGACATTCCTTGAGCGACTCTATGTAAAAAGTCTGTTTGTTTTTCGTCTAATTGTGGTCCTTGATGTTGTTGAACTATTTGTCCTATTCTTTCTTCCTTTCTTCTTTTTGCTTCATCGAATGACGCCTGTATTCCCATTGCTGTATCTTCATCTATTACATCCTCATCATCTGCTATATTAAATGACTTTGCATCTCCTGTTTGTGCTTCACTTGTTTTTGTTTTTGTGGTTGGCATTGCATCTACTCCTGTCGATGCTACGTTTGGACGCCATGCCTGAACCTCTTGAGATTGTAATTTGGTTACTGGTGTTTGTGTTCCCATTACTCTGCTTCTTGTAGTATATGTATTAACACCGGTTGAGACTCTGAATGTTTCCTTATCCTCTACTTCGTTTGCTTCTTGTAATCTTTGATTTTGTTGTAATTCTTCTTGGTCTTTCAATCCTAAAAGTTCTGTTCCATCAAACTGACTACCATATACAGAACTACGATAAATAGCTGCTTTGCGGTCAATTACATCAATAATACTTGGTTTAATCCTTTCTTTTTCTTCTTCAATGTCTCTAACAACTTCATTAAAAGTTGGTCTCCGTTCAAATCCTTTCATAAGCAATGTTTTTATCATTATATATTATTGAATTAGATTTAAAAAACATTTAATCAAAATTTGCTCTCATTTTATTCTAATAAGTTTTAATTAAAATAGAATTACATCATATTTCAATTAAAACTTGTTTTCATTAGCATTCTGATAAATTTTGAAAAACTATTAAATGTCATTTAGTATTTTTGAAACTTGTTTTCATTTTATTCTAATATTTTTTGATAAATTATATTCATATTTTCTCAAAACTTGTTTTCAATAACACTCTAATGGGTTTTAAGTAAGATATAATCAAAACTTGTAATTATCATCATTTTTAATATGTTTTATTATTTTGTCTAATTCATCGGCTCTCCTTTGTAGTTGTTCCCTTGCTGGCACAACTCTTTTTGTTAATTCGCCCCTTAACCTTTTTAATTCTTCAAAGTGGTTTGCATTTTGTTGATTTTCCAGTAGTTTTTTCTAAATGTCTAAACTCTCTGCCTTGGTTTTATGTGCTTCCAGTGCATCCTTTAGATTCCTAGAATCATGTCTGTTTGATGCTATGCCCCAGATACTATCAATATTTCTACAGTGTTTTTCTGCCTTTGTTTTTTCTTTCTTTCGTTCCCATACTTGAACATTAACAATATATTAAATTTTAGAAAGTATAGTTTATTGTTAAAAGATAAATATCTTAAGATTGTTTATTTTCTCTGCTTTCTCATTCTGCTTTTGTTGATTATAGTCTTGATATTGTTGTTTAAATATTTGTGTTGGTGTCATCTGTGGTTTTGGTTGAGTTTGAGGACTAACTTTTTTAATCTCGGCTTGGATCTCATGTTTAATTTAATCTCGTAGTTCATTCTTTATTGTTTCTTTTTTGACTTCATAACTATCTCTTCTTTTTACTTGTCTGTGTTCGATTGGATTTGTTGCTGGACAAACTTTTGGATGTGTATTTCTCAACGATTTTAATGTTAATTTCTTGTTACATGTTGGACATTCTACCTGTTGGAGTTCCTTTTTTATTCTTGGTAATGGTTTTGGTTTTGCTTCTTTTTCTTCTGTATTTACTTCTGTGTCATCATTATGTTCAATTTCTGTTGCGTTTTCTTCTTTATTAACTTCTTCTTCATCTATAATAGGCGGTTGTTTTGTTAATTCTTCTGTTTTAACCTCTTCGTTATTAACATCTACTACTTGAATGGAAGTCATTATATAAATCTATTTAGATATGTATTTATCTAAATATTGTAATACTAAAACTAACATTCACCTCATTCAAATCAACATTTTACATCGTCTTCTAATTCCATAGTCTCTGGTAAATTAACTGTAAACTTTGACGATGTACCAGAAACCCTAAATTTACTGTCAATATGAACTTTTTTTGAACTTTAACGTTATATAATTTATTTAGAAAATATTATTATTCTTTTATTATTATATATGATAAAAAGTAATCATCCTAAATATTTGGAAATGAAACAAGGTAAATTACTACACACCGAACCTTTTGAAATTGATAATGTAGTTAAACAAAATAAAGAAAAATTAGCAGGATACACTTATCCAGTAAGAGGGGACATTGAAGGAATACGTTTAGCATATGATAATCCAGAAGGTGTTTATAAGGATGGACAAAGATTGTATATAGCAGGAACTAAATCATTACGAGATGTCTATGATGACATCACAAAAGTGCCTTTCGATAAAGTAGAACAAAGCGAGAGATATAAAAATGCAGAACAAATGATAAGAGAAAATCCAAAAACATCTTCCATCAGTGGCCACAGCCTGGGTGGGGCAGTAACATTAGCATTAAACAGAAACAACAACAATAAATTTAGGACAAGAACGTATAACTCGCCTACTTTTTCATTTCAAAAACCAGAAGATACAGGTAATAATTTAAGAGTAAGGGGTCTTAACGATCCAATCAGTATTCTAGACTGGGGCAGTATCACATATAAAAAGCCGGGCGCAAACGATCCATATACAGCTCATAGATTAGCTAATTCAACGAAGTTGGAACAGATGCATCAAAAATGGTTACAAAGGAAGATGTTTTAGGGCAGAGCCCTAAAGCATTTGGATTGCATCCAACCGTTTTAGGACAACAACCCGTAAAAGTATATTAATAAATATATAGGTTTTATTAATAATGATAGGTTGTAGACATAATGAGTATGACGAAGTAAAAGAATCTTTAAAACATAAATCTGAAAAACTTACGTATGATGAAATACAAAAGATTATAGAAGATGGTGAAAATAATGTAGTCCAACGACAGGAAGCGAAACCGATAAAAACTATAAATAAAAATGTTAAGAATGGTAAAACCATACCTGGTACTCCCCCTCGTAGACGCGGCCGTCCGCGTAGGTCTCCTTGCCCCGCCCGTGCCTCTTGTCGTCCTGGAACTCCCCCTCGTAGACGTTGCCGCTGGGAAAAATGCATCGGGCCCGGCCGTGGATGCTATTGCCCTTCAGGGGCAGGGCCGCTTCGCCGTCCAAGGGCTCGTAGACCTCGGAGACCATCTCCACGTCTGTTTGGGCCCACTGGCGCCTCGCGGCCTCCACGGCCTGCGCCATGTGTTGCTCGCCCAACGTGCCGCCCCCGCGGTGCTGCGTACTGGGGAAGGCGAAGACGCCGATGCGCGGCACGTTGAGCCAGCCGCTTTGCTTCTCTTCGGCGACCTGCATGGCACTCTTGTGCCGGACGACCCCCTGCTGGATCTGCAAAACGAAGCCTCGAGACTCCTTGACCTTCTCCAGGTTCTCGTTGAAGGTGCGCAGCCACCGGTCGTTGGCCTCGGCCTTGTAGATCTCGGCATTGGCGGTGTTGGGATTGTACACGGTGCAGCCTTGCTCCTCTAGGATCTCTTTGAATCCGACGGAGACGGTGTACCAAGGCTTGCCGAACTTCGTGGAAAGCACCACGTGGGGCGCATCGCGACGTGTGGGCACGGGCTTGCGGGGAGGCCATGTTGTCGGGCGCTGCCATCCCTCTCTTCCCAGCTCTGTCTCCGCCTCTGTGTTTCCCAGCTCTATCTCCGCCTCTGTGTCAGCTCTATCTTCTCCTCTGTGTTAGATGCGCTGGTCCAGCTGGTACAATTACAAGCGCCCATAGCATGCCCTAGCCCAAGGGGCAAGTCTTTGGCTAAATTGGGATCACTTGAGCAAAGGGACCTCAAGCAGAGACCTGCGAAGAAAAGGTGTATGCAAATCACGGAATGCCTTGTGAGCCGTGGCCATGGGAAGAGCTCTGAGTTTGCAAGCAAACTGACATGTTTTCTTCGAAAGCCCAGAACTCAGCCGGGTGAAACATTCGCTGCATACGAGCGTCGGAGACGCTGTCTTCGGGAATCGCAAGTTGGTCTTTGGTGAACTGAAATTGCTCATCAAGGATGTAAGGACACATGAAGCGTTGATGAAGAACACGGTTTCCTCTGTGACCTGACCTACCGGCCACACATCTGCGCGCGCAGGGTCAGGGTGGGTGGGGAACTTGCCGCTTCAGAAAGCTCGTTCCGCACGAGCGCCTGCGGGGCTGACTAGGTCAGGGGCAGCGCGTTATGGGAGCACAGTTGTCCTGACGCAGGCCGTCCGCAGGGCCACACGCGCAGAGGCCGAGCCCTGTTGCCGAGCGCCTGTCCGGCAGCCAAAGAACATGCAACATGGAAGGGCATCCTTGGCGAAAACCTCCCAGGAGAAAACTTACCTACCTGACAGGTGCCACAACTCTCGGCCAGCCTGAGCCCTGATGTTCTGGAACTCCTTCCCGGAGTTGAATATGGTGCTGGATGGAATGCGTGAGCTGAACCCACCAGAACAATGCCATCAAGAATGAATACGTATGGATCAATCGATCCTGGATTAATCTTCGGAATCTTCTATGCACTGCCTGCAATACCACACAGTTTTGCACAAGTTCATTGATTGACATCCTCTGAATCCTCTGACACCGCCCGCCCAGAAGAGAGCTACTCCTTCCAACCTTTGACCAGCTGCAAGCGAAAGTGGAAAACCGCATCCCATCACACCTACATTGGAAGCCTCTTCCAGCTCACATTATATAATCAGCACAAACACTGTCAAGAGACGGCAAGGTGACGTCCCGTGGGACGCTGTCCACCGAACCCTCCAGCTGAATGTACTCAACCACGTAGAAAGGATATACGGTTGGACCGTTATAGCCAAACCAGTGCAAACTGTTGTAAGGGTATTGTCCAGTAACCACACACACGTCCGATATCAGCAGCGCGAATGAACCTGTTTTCTCTCTCACAGATCGATCACAGGCGAACGTAGTTCATGCAAGACCTTGAGCCCTACTTGTGTCTTGAGCCAAATGTGGTTTCCAAAGGGAGCATCTCAATCAACAAGAACATGGACCTCAGAACAGCTTCCCAATTTGGCACGGGGCCTAGAGGGTTTTAACATCCCCCATTTGGGTCGCATTGTTCATCATGCGGTCCAAACATCACAACAAGTCCCAATGGCCACGGCTCCGACTACGAAACTGTGTCGAACATTCTTTCACTCACTACTGCATCGCCGTTCACTCATTGTGAAACTTGGCCGGGTTCGATTAAATCAAAACGTGCATCCTCAGATCTCAGCACATTCCTACACACAGAGACAAGAGGCATTCTGCCTCATGCCACAACACAGCCATCTGAAATCCCAGCTGCCGCATTTGCGCATCGCGCAGCCGTCATCCATAGAAATGGGTTGGCCATAGAAATCCATAGCAGTGCATGACCATAAGTCATCTGTATATAGCCGGCAAAGAAAATTCGGCGAGCAATATATACGCAAAAAACATAGCTATCCCAGATACCACGAATAACATAAGGAAATGAAATCATCCATGAGGTAATAGTGCCCATCCATGAATATCCGGAATACCATAGCCGTCGGAATATGTAAATACATACATAACCATGTTCCTTGGACAAATGAAATCACATCTTATCGGAAACATTCCGTCGCCGTGAAATCGATGTGACTCTGGCGATGGATGGGGTCAGGCCCGCACCATGCAGCAAAGCACATCATAGTGGAATCAAAATGTTGCTGGCGATAGGTGGGTACTGGCCCGCACCATGCCGCAAAAGCAACGATAATCCACAATTGTGTCACTCAGGTCAATCCACGATGGCCAACCTGGTGATACGACGACGGAATTCTTCGTCCAAGTTCTGTTGGGCGTCTCGTGCTCGGAGATACTTCTTGTAATGTTCGTCCGCAAGCCAGTGCCCCTTTCGGACACACCAATCAAGCAGAGGTCCGTCACACTTGCCCGAATCTGTGGCCGCGATGATGGCGCTCACGTCAACTACATACCCATGCTTACCAAGGTTCAGCTCGGTCCTCGTGAAGGATATGTATTTGCAGTTGAATGCCAGGGAGAAACATCTGTAGACAATGTCCCCCACCGAATGTTTGCGATCGCTGACCAATAGCCTCATTTCTTCCCTGGTGATGTCGAGGATCCTGGCTGCAACCCACAATTTGTAGAAAATGTACAGCCCTTTACATTTGAGTGCCGAATAGTGAACGAATTGATCGCGTTCCTCGACCGTCCTGAAAGCCCTTTCTCGAATCTTCGTGGATTGGGAAACTTTCAGCTCATTTGATGGTAATATGATGCCATCCCGGTCGAACTCGGTGATGTTGGGATAGCGCCCCAAGTCATTGTGATATGGGCACTCAAGCTTCCCCACGAGCGCAGCTTCAATCGTTCGCTTTTCTCCAGCTTCAAACATCCCCCACATCCTTGACATTTGCAGCGCGATGAATCCTGCCATGTATTGAGCTTCACGTGGCTCGTCCATGCAGATTGCCATTCGTTGCGAGCTGATGATGTCTCGCGCGGCCATGTCGTTGTCGCGATAATCCCATTCATTGTCTTCCTCTTCGGACACATTGCCGGATGTGTATCCCTGCGTGCCCATGTCATCGTCTTCGGGATCATCTTCCATTCCACCACCCTCTCCTTGTGCTGCCGCATCGTCGTTCGCTTCTTCCTGCGCCCGCCTGGCATCTCCGGACACATTGGGTTCATAATTGGCGTCCTCATCATCGGAGCTGATGATTGTGCAGAACCTTCCGGTAGAAATCAATTGCGCCTCGCATTCCAGGCATATACAAAAGCATGTAGGAATTGCAGCTGCACACGATGGACAAATTCGGCGCCTGAGCCCTTCCCAGGTCTCGTCATTCAGGATGATGGTTTTGCTGATCTCGTCTCTGATCTCATTTGTCAGGGTTTCCAACTCCTGATGTTGGCCGCCTCGAAACAACTCGCAGGCACGATCCACCATGTCCTTGACGTAGTGCAGATTATCGGCGCCTGCCTCTGTTTCTGGCGATCTCTCGATGACCTTTGCAACGTTCTGGATGAACATCAAGGCCGATTCTTGGGAAGACCCAACGAAACCAGGACAGATCTCATTCTCAACACATCCCGAGTACGCCCGCTTGACGTCCTCGATGTTCAGGCAATGCCCCTCGTTGCACTTGCCGATCCAAATGGACTTGATCTCATAGAACGGGATGACGTCGAAAACCATAAACGTCCCGTTGAATGCAACTCCAGCTCCATATCGTGCAAGAGTCGCACTGGGGATGTACATGATTGCGATCGGATCCCCAACCCGCTGGTTGCGCAGTGATGTCTTCGTCACCAAGTTCATCTTGTCCCATGGAGCGAATGCCCCGAAGTGCAGCGCCAACCTGTTTCCGCCACCGATTCCGCCGGGGACCAGCCCGCAGCGTACGATGCTTGGCAGATTTTCTACATATGTCACATGGAATGCGCCACCAAGGGTGTCGCCCATTCTTGCAGAATACCTGTTTGCCATGCGGAAGAACTCATGTGTCCAAAATCGCTGTGACCAGTTGAGGCCCGAATGCACCAAGGTCTGTACCATCCATTGCATCTGTTGAATATCACGTTGATCTCATCCTGGGTGTGACCCAGTTGGGCCAATTCCTGTCTTGCGGCCCTCATTTCATTTGGGTTCATGATGCTTGGAAACCTTGCTGCGAGGACCTGAAATCTCGACTTCTTGTATCCAGATTCCTGCCACTTGATCACCTCGATGATGCCCATGTAACGCTTCGCCTGTGATGTCATTGGTGGGAAGAGGTCCACCCCACGGTCGTTGATGATTGCATCGATGTCGACCCACCCACCTTCGTCACATTTGAAGGCACTTCCTTTGCCATTGCCGATCTTGTGGCGAAGGACCCTGCAGAGGTCGTGAGATAGCTGGTTAGCCTGTTCCCGCGTCCCGAATACAGAATTTGGCCAATCTTGCGAAATGGGACATCGTCGAACGGGTAAATGCAAAAGTAGATGCTCTTACCGAGCTGTTGCATGTCGATCTGTTCCAAAATGGCGCCCTTGGGGAAGAATCTGGGATCGGTCATTGAAGCGTAGCCCCATGACACTTCGGGGTTACTCACATCGCCGTATTTCGGGATGTAGCATGGGATAGTATCACACCCTCGCTCCAACGTTGTTTTGAAGGTACGGTGATCCCCACACGGATTGAAAGTAAGATCCACACCTCCGCAGTGCAGTTCGCCCCCTTCAGCCGTGTCAGCCATTTCCACCAAGTTGATGGTATAGCTGTACATCTCAATTGTTTCTTTCCCCATTTTCTCTCCCTTCTTGCGTTCCCTGGGTGTCGATGTTGAGGGTTCCTCTGCATCCCCCATTTCTTCATCCGAGGACACATGATCATTGCTGAGCAGCTCGCGAATCCTCTTGATCGCTCCTTCATTTCCGGCAGCCTCCTCAGCCTTCTTGCAGTCGCCGTCATGGATCGCGTTCGCGCACCTTGTGCAAATTCCCTCCTTCTCCATGCACTCCCTCATTGAGTCGAGAAACTTGAGTGCCGCTTTTGGACCATCAATCACGCGCTGCTTCTTCTCCTCCTTCTCTTCTTTGGGCTGGGAGCTTCGACTCTGATCGGGCTCTGGGCCGCGATCATCGTCTCCACCCCCTGATGCCTTCCTCTTGGACCCTTGGCTGGACTGCTCGGCCACTAGGGAGTATGGGTGCTTGGGCTTGATCGCGTTCATGATGTCCAACACCTCTTTCGTGGGTGTTCCG